TACAAATAACCGAGTTATTAAATAACGTATGTGTACTGGTGCAATATCGTTCACACACTCTGGTATATTGTTTGCGTCATCCGGAGGGCTTGGTTTGCGTAATCCAATCTTATTCTGACACTAGAAATGACGTCATAGCTGAAGACGTCATTCAACGGAAGTCAAAAAACAAAACAACAAACCAATACACCAACAAATTACAATGTTTTAGATTTATTTAAGAAAAGACAAACACCTATGAAAATGTACGAATTTACCTGTTTCTAAATGCAGCTAAAACAATTGGGTTTTACAAGTCTTCCCATAAATGTAATCACTAATGTGTAGGTATTAAACTTTACCATTGAGTGCATGTATCTCTTACAAGTTCTTCCATGTCAAAATGTAATGTTCACGGGCCCCGCATTTGTCCAAATGCCCCATTTTTGTCCCTACTCTTCAGTATGCGCTAGAAAGCTAGCACAGCATGCGTTTCATTGACTTGGAAATATTCGGAGACACTCGCTAGCGCATCGGCACCCAACGGCTTATTGAACGCACCTACGGTCTAACTTCACTAGCTTTAAAACAGGTAGTAGGGGGAAATGGTGCACATGTGTTCAAGGTTATTGCACTGCGACATGTGTGATGTGTGTGTGCCATTCTATAGTACTAACTCACTGAGATACCTCACTCACACACAGTATACTGACTGACACAGTATACTAAACAATCCTTGATTACCCCACTAATGCCGAGCTACAGGAAAGGTTACAAGAACAATCTTTTCACTTCTGGTATGTCACGACCAGGAATCGAACCACTGACCTTCCTCTCTCTCCAGGCAGACACTCTATCCACGGTCAGCTTTGAACAGGAAAATCCAAGGCATCTGGAGCAAAGTTGTATTTTCTTCCAGTTTAATGCCATCACTTGAGCCTTGGTACTTGCATGTTGTTTGAGGTTGTAGTACGTATGCCTTTGCTTGAACCAAAGGTAATGGCATCAGGTTGAATATGCATGATGGTGTTCATAATTTCTGAGGCCTTGAGGAAAATGCGCTGAAGGGGCTGCTTCTGTTTTTGCAAGATGTTGCAAATGCTTTCTCGAATAAGTCTGACATAATAGTTTTTAGAAACGGTGGTTACTTACGCAGTGTAGAAAGTGGCTGTATTCAGGAGTTGAAATGCAAACTGTAACCTATCATAAATATCTAGGTATTATTTTCTCAGAGATTAGTGTGGTCAAGCGCTTGTGAAACCCTATCTATTCAACCCAGAAAGGCTAGCATGCCAGATCGCGTGGTCAGAAAGGCGAAAACAAAAAGTTTTAGAAAATAATGAAAGAAATATGCAGTGCAATCCAAAAATACCATGTACAGGATATATTTTAATGATAATATTCACGAAAAAAAAATCTTTTCTAAAAATGCAAATAATTGTATTAATTTATCCCAAGGTTGTAACCCTGATTACGTGGTGGGTATTTGGAAGGAACGACGCCGAGAATGAGGCCGTGTGTATTACATTGTTGAATTAAACTGCCAAGGAAGATTGTTGAGGCATTGACATTACGACAGATGTTCGTCATGGATGGAAAGAAAAATGTTCATGAGAGAAACATTGTTGCTTTGAGCTGCGAGACAAAACACGTGTTAATGCCGAAGTAGCCAGCGACCTGAATGTAAGCTTGATGAATATAATGTTGAAACCCATTTTCACGCACATGACAGAATTAATGTGAACAAATATTTATCTGAACATCGTTTCGAAGTCTGTGAGGCTGTCCGTATTTTAATATTTTTATCATCATTCCGACGTGAAATAATATAATATCTTCATGTCTCAATTTTGCTAAAAGCAGAGTCCATTGTACGATTCCCACTATATTATAGGAATGTGTTTATGAATCACTAATAGATATGATACCAGGTGTTCGCGAAATAAGCGTAATCCTACCCTCACGATGGCACCCGTCACAAACACACACAAACATGATAATGAAAGGCAGATACTTAAAATAATTTAACATCACTACTCCCAGGAAAAGTACACTAGAATTCACTCTGTATGAAAACACTTCATCGAATACGGAAATAGTTCGTGAATTATGGACTTCATTTTTATTATCCACGTATTATACATATATACTACTCAAAAGAAGTTAAGGAACCCACAATTCTTACATGTGACTATCGAGTTAATCTGTCATGGCATGAGAGATTAGCTGTAGCCATTTGAAAGAATCGGATGTTCCTTAACCTTTTTTGAGTAGTATATAATGATCATACTCTTTCTCGGAAGCATTGGTTGCTGGGGACCTTTTCTAACCCGGAATCCCCAACGGTTTCAGTCTAGCAAAGACATCTGACCGGTAAATATCTGCAAGGTTCAGAGAGTGACTGACTAGGTGTTAGCCTGCCTCACCAAGCTAAACCAGCAATGAAGATCATGGGCAACAGTCTACATCAATAGTGCATTGACTACACAAGAAGCACAGGATACTGCTTACCTATAATACTTGTTAGCAAAGCATTATGTCTTAAGTCCCTCTTAAGTGGACAGTGAGAGAGACATTGTGAGACATTACATACAAATAAACACGAAACTTTTGAAACATGTAATATGCTGTAACAATTAGTCAAAGAGCCACACCAAATGACAGGGAATTATCCCAACACAACTGTAAGCTTCACCTTAAGCTGTGTGATGACTTCTCTGGTCTCTCTCAGGGCCCCCACAAGCTGACTGTTGGACTTGACCAGCTCCTCATTGCGGGCAAGCACAATCTTGACCAAGGACTCTTGGGAGTAGGCCAGGGAACGGATTTTGGCATCCATGTGCTCTGGGCTTGGTCTGATGTGACGGCGAGCCTGTCCAAGAGTATGAAACATTGTACGTTGTTAACTCACCAAATGAATTCTTAGGATTTTAGGATTCCAAGGTAGTCAAACATGACCGCTATGGAGGAGGCTCAATCATAATTTGGGATAGGATCAGTAGAGGTGGAAGAACCGATCTCCATGTCCTACAGCAGAGCACAATGACAGGTGTGCGCTTCAGGGATGATATTTTGGATGTGTAAGTGAGAGTGTATGCTGGAGCAATCGGACTGGACTTCCTCCTCATGGACGTCAGTGCATGATCTCATCGTGCCAGTGTCGTTAATGCCATCTTAGAGCAGCAAACCATTTTGACAAGTGATCTGACTGACTGCAATACTGTACGACACATAAAAAAACGTCAATAGCTTACCTTCCACTCATCATTCTCAAAATAGGTCGACGTAGCTCTCTTCTCAAACATGATGCTTTCTTCCTCAGAATCATCATCTTCTTCTTCTTTCTCCTCTGTCACAGGGACGTCCTGGCTTTTGGACACAATTGCCGAGTTGTTGGTATTCTTGGCTTGGGATACTAGCAGTACATCAGTTCCTCTTTTAGACAATTCTTCAGGTGACAGATAAACTGTTTTAATCAAGGGTGCAGCAAAATGGTCACAGTGAGTTTGGTTTATTAAGAATCTTAGAATATCAAATGACACAAATTCACTGTATGTATTAATCTTTGGTTGAACAAGAATAACACCATTCTATACGACTGAGAAAATGCTAAACAGCTATGAAAAATGATCATCCAGAAGGTTTAGATTTAATTACTTTGGTTCAGTGGGTAAGAGGTAGCACCCTAACACAAAGTCTTACCAGATTCCGTTGCCTTGACCAGCTCCTGAACCTCCTCAAACTTCTTCTTGAACTGTCTGGCCAGCTCCTCTGTCTGAAACACAAGACTCACTCACATGAGATGACGACATACACAGTCAATCCTAAACAAGAGCTAGGAGATGACATATCTTCTCCATTCTGGTGCAATTCAGAAATGGAGTTTGGCTACTTATACCCCACTTTTGGTACATTGCCATTGGTTACCTTCAGTTCTGTGAAGAAAAAAACCATTGTTGTTCTGTATTTTTCAGTATCCCAAATTATCAAAAAGGCACCAGTTCACAACTATACTGGTCTGTAAAGCACGTTTCATCTGGAAATATCCAACGGTTTTGGAGTTCTGCACCGGAAATGAGCACTACTCTCGTGAGTAGTGTCGTGAAAAAAAAATAAGCTCCCAAATCATCAAACAGCAGCAGTACACCACTAGACTGACCTGCATAGCAAGTTTCGACAAGAAATATTCAACACTTTAGGAATTCAGCTCAAGAAACGGAAAACAGATGGATGACAGACGGACAGACATGTTGATCGTTATATCCCCTAGTTTTTTTCATAACGGGAGATGGAAAACAATGGATGTACAAGAAATAATTGTCTATAGGGCTTTTCAAACAAACCCATCATAGTATATTCTAGCGGGAGCCCAGGACGTTTGTCACATTACTTCAAAACGTGCATTACTTTCCGGAAGAGCCAAACAATCTTATCCAATTTGTGCAGCATACAAATTAATTTTGTTGGTAAATCCTGAGGATAGATCATCCCTCCACCCCCAAAAGCTTAAATTCTTTCTTAACTGAAATATAGATGCAAACTGACGTCTCAAAAAGTAATGCTGCCCAAGACATGTCTGTTATTTCAGTGGTGACTGACCTTGAACCTGAGGGCAAACTGTTCAACCTTGGCCTCGTTCTCAGCATAGTCTTGAGCAGTCCAGCAGCAGGCTCTCTCTGACGTTGCCATGGGAGACAGGGTCATATTGCCAGCTATCAGATGATTACATGCTACTTTGTGTACTTGATCTCGCCTCATCAGCAATCGGTATTTATCTACAAGGACAGAAAACAAAATGGAAAACATATATAAAAGTTTTATCATTTTATTGATCTAACAACATTGTTGAGACAGAAGAACTGAACAACACATTTTCAAAGAGTCTACTGTTGTTTAATATTACAGTACTAGTTTCAGTGGAACAGTAGACTAGACTTTGAACCCTGCCCTCATCAAGCTTATGCCAAGCATGTTTATCATATCAAAAGGTTCTCATTTGGTTGTTTTAAACAATATGATGGTGGCCTGTAAGAGTCTAGTCTAGATGAAATATGCCAATACCCGAGATGCCAGACTCAGTATCTTGTTTGAGGATCTTCATGTCTCCCACAGCTCTCTCCTTCCACTGGTTGGAATCCCGCACAAATGGGAACAGCTTCGATCTCTGGCAGTACACCACCTCCCAACCTTCTTCCCCTGCAAGGACATTTACATCTATATCACATATGCAGACAAGCTATGCCAAAAACATAACTCACACAAAAAAGACATTATATGAACAGGAAAGTACAATTTGGCCTTGAACTCACCGGTTTTGACTTCAACTAGTTCTGGAAGGTCAATGATGGGCTTAAAGTCAATGTCATCACTCTGCACAACCTCATCATCATCAACATTGGTCCTGTTGCCTCCTGGGGAAGTCCCAAAGATCAGCTGACCTGCTCCTGACCACTGGAATGGTCGGTTCTCATCTGCCAGAGAAAACATAGAATGTCAGGCCAAGCGCTATGCTCAATAACCTGGGAAGGGACTTCGCTAAGATTCCAAACAAAGGGCATCTGGCAAGCAAAATGGAGAAAGAACTTATTTTGTTCAAAATTGTGATATTGTTTTTAAAGTACCATTCTTCTTCAATTTAGAGTTTTTTTAACATTGTATATCAACATTGCATTTAATACTGTGAACCAAGCATTAAGCCTCTTCCTCGTTATTGATCCTGCTATGAGTGAAATACATTTGACCAAGTGATCACATTAGAATCTAGATGTAACTATATATTGACATCAATTAAGAGCATCCTAATTCCAATTTGGGAAATTTAGACATTTGCTTCAGATGTAGGGCAGAATAATGCTGGGAATTACATTTGTGGTTGAACAGGCTGCAAACAATTCTAGGACTGATGATGGTAACTGTCTACTTGCCTTTCTTGAAAGCATAACCAACTGCATCTCCCTGTGCAGCTAGTGTAGAAAAGGACATGCCTGAAGCCTGACCGATCATGCAGAACCCTTCACTGGCACCAGTACTGCCTGCAACACCTGATGGTCAATAAGTCATTAATGCAAACATCATTGCCTTTGGTGTTTGGACCATGACAATCCAGTGATTGATTTTGTGAGCAACAATCAATGCAGTTAACACCAAGTCAAAGAATATGACCACCCAATCCGTTAAGTTGCCTCTTATGACCAGCATAGATTGCTGGGGAATTCCAACCAGTAGTCACCACAGGGATATTTGTGAATTAAAGGAACATAAAATAGGAGCATGTAACAGAAGCTCTTCCCTGTCACCATCCAATTACTCTCATTACTTACTGCCCCCCAAATCCTATCTTGTATCAGTTTCACAATGGTTGGCTATTCAGTGTTAGAATTAAACGGGGACCCTGGGGTCTCTATTTAGTTTTGTATTAACATGATGGTTATGATAAGGACCCACTGACTTGCATGCTTAATTCTGACACTTATATTGATACCTCAACAAAGCTCCAGACGACTATCAAGACTGATTACTTCATGGAAGTGTAAATACTATAAACCAAAATCACTTACTACCAGCACTGCTTGAAACTTGAACTGAAGCTATTGTTGGTGCAGGACTTGTCTCCTCAGATTTTGCTGTAATGATAAACGAACCTAAAAAAACTTTGGAATAAAGAAATTACATTGACCAATGTGAGATTTCAGAAAAAAAGAAGCTAGCCATTACAATTATTTTATATTCTTGTTAGAGAACCATAGTTTCGTCCTTTTAGACATAACCTCATGAAGATTGTTAATAATACTCACATTTGGCTCTGACCTTGCTGGGCATGCTGACTTTACTGGGGTCATAGTCCTCACAGCCAATACAGCCTGGACAAGGGGGTTTGTTTTCATAGAGGTAGAAGGACTCGGGCAACAGGTACTTCCTGGCTCTGGCCTTCTGTTCCTCTGTAGCCTCCTCCACATACAGGAAGTCCACACCTGAAGTGTCTAAGGGACACAGAACCAAGCGTCAGAAACAAGGAAGTAGAGCGGGCATCTCATGGGTAAAGTGCCTTTTAGAAATCAGTGGGTGAAATCAGTTTTTCAGAACTGTAGGGTCAAAAATGAAAAATGGTGGGGGTTTTCTTTTTCACAAAGGGTCCAAAGGTTACTTCTCCTATATAAACGTACCTTGAAGTCTATTTCATGACTAAATTAGTTGGAAGTTGCTGTTTTTTTCTGAATGTAACATTAACCAAAATAAAATAGCAACAATCCGTAAATACTTGGGAAAATTCATAATCCAATAAACAACCTCACACAGTGCCACTCCTGGAGGGGCATATCTTAGAAAAGTAAAATGTGGAGGCAGGTGCCACAACTTCGAAACATCACATTTAATATGTAGTATAGGTGTGAGCACCAGACCTACTGGCCTGGTTCCCACAGTGGGAACCACTACACCAACACCCGAGTAGTTTTCTACATGCAGCCGGCAAACTGCACAGGGCGAGTGTATAGCACCAGTAATTATCAGATTCTAATCCTGTTGAGAAAAGATGCAAAAGTCCAAAAGCATAAATTATCATGCTTTGCTACATACACTGATCCAGCATTAAAAACACGATTCCAATAATCCCCATAATATATTTCCATATTTCATAAAGAGGGCTAGGTTTGTGCTCAAAAGTTGATATTGTTGTAATAACAACATTGTGTTTTTAATGCTGGCTATACACTTATATTGATACCTCAACAAAGTTCCAGACGACTATCAAGACTGATTACTTCCTGGAAGTGTAAATAATATAAACCAAAACCACTTACTACCAGCACTGCTTGAAACTTGAACTGAAGCTATTGTTGGTGCAGGACTTGTCTCCTCAGATTTTGCTGTAATGATAAACGAACCTAAATAAACTTTGGAATAAAGAAATTAAATTGACCAATGTGAGATTTCAGAAAAAAAGGATGCTAGCCATTACACTTATTTTATATTCTTGTTAGAGAACCATAGTTTCGTCCTTTTAGACATAACCTCATGAAGACTGTTAATAAAACTCACATTTGGCTTTGACCTTGCTGGGCACGCTGACTTTACTGGGGTCATAGTCCTCACAGCCAATACAGCCTGGACAAGGGGGTTTGTTTTCATAGAGGTAGAAGGACTCGGGCAACAGGTACTTCCTGGCTCTGGCCTTCTGTTCCTCTGTAGCCTCCTCCACATACAGGAAGTCCACACCTGAAGTGTCTAAGGGACACAGAACCAAGCGTCAGAAACAAGAGTCATAGGGCTCACAGCCACTTCGCACTTCTACAAGATCTACTGTCAAACTTCACTACTTCACTACCGGTTGTAATGTGTTCCAATATAACAAATATTACTAGAAACTAACATATCTTTCAATTTTGGAAATTCAAGTTATTTCCAAGTAGCCCCGAGTCTAATGTACTTGCAAACACATATGGTTTATGTTGTGGGTTAAGGTCAAGCGTAGACAATTAAGTTTATATAATCAGTTTTAGGCCATTGACACCTACTTTAAGTCACAAACTTGTTAAGCACTTGCGTTTTCATGGTCCTTATATCAGTTATGACCTGCTGCCTTTTCGTAAAACCCAACAAACTGACTCACTCCTTCTGCAGATCATCAGCCTGTATGCAAATATCATAAACTTTATCGGGGTGGTCGGGTAGCCTAGTAGTTAAAGCGTTCGCTTGTCACGCCGAAGACCCGGGTTCGATTCCCGACATGGGTACATTGTGTGAAGCCCATTTCTGGTGTCCCCGCCGTGATATTGCTGGAATATTGCTAAAAGCGGCGTAAAATCATACTCACTCACTCACTCACTCATAAACTTTATCATAAATAAATTAAGTTTCTTTATGACATACATGAATGTCAGCAATGGTGTTGTTTGAAGCCATCATACACTTGAAGTTTCTTTACCTTCTCAGATCCAGTGAGGATGAGACGAACATAAAACCTCTCGCCACAACCGAGTTCTGACAAGACCAAATCTACAAAGTCTGCTGCAACCACGTCATCACCCATGAGCTGGAACTCAAGCCCGGGTGATGGGAAGTCGTGGGTTTGGTATGCTAAGGACTTCTCAGAAGAGGAGGGCAAGGTGGAACAACTGGCTGTCAGGTTTAAGAACAAGGAGATAACTGACAAGTTCAAAAAGAGTTTGATGCTGTCAAGGCTGATGGAGAAAAGTTTGTTTCTGTGGATGCTACAGGAGACGTGTAGATTGACGGTTAGCCTACCATAATCAGTTATTGTCGCATAGGTAATAACCTAAGTTTTAGCTGGACAAACCCGTCGACGGATAGACAATTAGGCCGTTTTAATCTATGAACCTTGTAGCCATGGCAATGCGAAAAACACTGTTCGTTATGAGCTAGGGACAAGGGGACAAGGGTGTTACAGCCTTGTCAGTTATGAGGATGCATTCTCGTGACGGACTACTCGAATTGATACATGACCCGCTCAGTCTGTTCAGTCTCAGTTCCTGCAATCTGTGCTTGAAAACGGGTTCTTGAGCTCAAAACGGCCATTGTTGATTATTCCCACTCTTTTCTCCCAAGAGTTTTTTGACAATTTGTCTGCAAAGACGTCAGAGAATGTTGGATCGAGCCCCTAATCTCTGTTTGTCCTAATATTATCACAATATCATTTTTCCGCACAGACACAATACAATCGCTTGTACATGATGTCGCCACATGTAGTTTAAATGTCTGTGTATTGTTAATACTAAGGGACCGACCATTTGATATTCTATTCCCACTTATATTTGTTGTAATATAACAAAATATCGTATATACTCTTGAGGACAGATACATCCGTATCCGTTGATATTGTCAACATATACAAGTACATTATTGACACGTGTCCATACTTACAGTAAGCAGTGCATGTCTCTCCAAACGTTGCCATTGATTCTGTCAAAGGTCGGAGGCCCGTTTGTGAAAATGTGATTGAGGACTTTTGGCGGATACGTTGTGGTAATATCGTGGCACTTTTAGCAATTATCTTGGCTTCTATTTTCTTCTTCAATGAGAGGACTTCAGTAGGACAACACAGTTCAAGACAGCTCTGGATAAAATGAAGCACATGTAGAATCTTCATGTTGAAGTAACTTCAGAAGAGATGCATTTGAGGCCTTCTCTGCTTCTTTGCACTTTTCTAATTCCAGTAATACCTCATTTTCTCTCTGGTCTAAAACACTCCTGAGCTGCCCAAATGTATGTTTTATCTCTTCTTTAAGATCTTGAGCATTACACTCAATATCCAATTCAAGACCATCAACTTTGCCTTCCAAATGTTTGACAAGACTAAGCCTTTCTGAAACATGCTGAATACCTTCCTTGAGAGTGTTCCAAGACATGGCTTGAATGCCATCGTTGTTGTTGGTGCATAAAACCGCCCCAGTGTCGTTTTGGGTGGTTGACAACAACACCTGTTTTGTTGTTACAACATCCTTAGTTTCGCCAACATCATTCCTCTTGAAGTCCTCCTGGCAAATACCACATCGTATAGTATCAGTGTTGTCTGCATCCTGGCATGTCTGACACACTGAATGTAGACAAGGAAGTAGGTATGGATCGGGTCCACCGAACGTGTAGGGAGTTTCACACACTCCACATTGATGCAGTGTCGTATTCCTGGACATAGTTTCTTTTAAGACGTATCTGCAAACAAATGAGTTTTCATATTTAATCGGCTTGAACCTATCTCAGGTGCTGCCATTTCTATTTTGATATCCCTTAGGGTCTCCAATTAAAGTAGCAAGCATGACTGATGTCAATGTGGCATCTACTCGCCCTTTGAGGACACATCTTTTTAAGAAACATGCTATTGTCTTGCACATTGAGTAATAACATCACAAGTCGACAGGAGTATGTGGCCAGACCCCCAAACTGCCGACATACCCCTCCCCACAGTAGAACAAAGCAAACTTAAGTTTTCCTTTTTTTTGTATCCAACAGACTAGAAAATGGTGGTCGTGGTCAAATGGTTTGGTGGCAGATACTGTTTTAGGGTCAAAATGCACTTTTCTGTTGTAAAAATAGAGAAAATCAAATAAAGTCCCCCCCCCCAAAAAAAAAAGGTAGTGTTTGCTTTGAATCATTTAAGTGATAGTTTAAACATATTAGACTTGAATTAGTATTATGTTTTTAATATTAGCCTCTCACAAATTGAGTAATTAGTAAAAAGTAGTTTTAGTATAAGTAGTTTTCATTTTCCATTAATTGGAAAAAGAACCGTTATGAATTATCAGTATTATCAACCAAGCCATTTGATATCTCAAAATGAGCCGACACGACTTATGATGAGATGGCAATGTTCATATTCCACATAACTTTTATGATTTTTGAAAAAACATTGGTAATAAGTTATCCCACCCCTATTTTGTCAAAATTGCATATTTCTATTCACATTGTTATTTTCATTTATTATAGATTTATACAACACATACCTATAACCGTTTACAAATACCTTTTTTATATAGGATATTATTAAAGGTTTGCCTAAAATCAAAGATTATGTAAACCGCCGAGGAGGCACATTTGGTCAATGTCACTTTGAAGGTCAAGTTCTAAATTAATACATAAATAGTATTTTAAAAATGCTGCAAATGCACATACAACTATCATCACTGGTTCTGGGTATGCTTGGTAAATCCCTATAGAATATACGAAGAAACCAACAAAAAATGTGCAAAACGAGATCAAAGCAACTGCTTCCCCTCAAAATAGACAAGCAGATGATACTGTGAACTCAATCTCAAGACACATAAAGGTGTAAGGAAAACAGGTCAACTTCTTTATTGTGAGGAAAATAACGTTTCAGAGCATAGACTTACTGCTTCATTAGGTGAATTAATGCTATGAAGCAGAGAATATATATATATTCCTGCAAGAACAACAAAGCCAACAAAGTAATAAGATAAAAAAGGTGGAAAGTTAATTGGCGCTGATAGGTGTTTAGCAATGGTAAAATGGAACAGTTAACAGTCTCCGAGCCAATGGCAGAGGCACCTGCAGCGCACGTCCCATTCCCAGAGGATGTATACACCCGATCTCCTGCAACTGTAGCAACCAATATATTGAAGAAACGCTCAGATCCCTCAAGACCAGACTCAAAGAGCATCAGACCTCTGTCAACAGAGTAGAACTGAAATCCGCTATTTCCGAACACATCATCAAGAACCAAAACCATAACATCATGTTGGAAAGCACCAAAGTTCTGTCTACCGACTACAACTGGCGACAAAGAAAAATACAATAAGAAAATCCATCTGGAGACACCAGCCAGCCATAAACCGTGACTAGGGAACCTATCTGCTCAGTGCTTGGGATTTATTGCTTTGATTATTGTCTGTGCTAATTATCCAGCTGGCTTTCATTTTTCCATTTACAATTCTATTGCTATTACCTATCAGTGCTAATTACCCCCTGTCTCTCGTTTGTCCATTGCCCATTGCCTATTTACATATTATATTAGTTGAGATAATGATAAAGATAAGATCTTATGAAACTTATTTAGATTGTAACTTAACGATATAGTGCTTTGGACCCAAGCTTCAATAGCGTAATTGCAGTGAGCTGAGATAATCGAGACTGGGTATTCTCTGTTATTTATTTGTAAGTGAATCGTGGAAGGCAATTGCACGCTGGTAATTGTGATCTAGAAGAACATTGTGAAACGTGATATTCTTATAATGATGTCTGGTTATAAATTCAAAGAAGACAGCTTTCTCGACATTGCTGACACATGTTGAAATGTTGACGAAGTTGTCAGTTTGGATTGAGCCACCTAGAAATGTCCCTAAACTCGGCACAATGTTTGAAGTGTTTAAAAGTAGAACACTTATTAAATTGCATTCATACAATTGACATCTGCATGTTTTTCTTCACAACTTCAATGTACTTTTTTAGATTTATCTGAAAGGAGGGTTTCTGCAACAAACTGTTTCTGTGCCATCATACAGATCGAGCCAGTGCTATGGACATCAGTTTAAATACAATGTATGTACATTGTGTAATAAAATATTTGCATCTCAAACGATTTCACACTTTTATCTCTCACAGACAATTTTAGCACAAGTCTATAAGAGTGTGCAGGGGAAACCATAATCATGCTACACACTTTCAGTTCCTGCCTTATATGCTGGAAAAGTATACTTATCTAAAACTACAATGTTTGAGATGTACTGTGCAATACTTGGTATAAACTCTATCATTACTGATTCTGATCGGGAACACACTCAAAATAATGAACTCAAACAACGTCACTTCAATCAGTATTTACGCTAACACCAAAGAGTTCGGGATTAATTTTGCAAAGGCAGAATGCAGAAAAGACGAATGTGTTTGTCAGTATGAAAACACATTATTTTTATCTGCTAAATGATGTTGGGTCACACGAGCATACTCTTAGTATTGTTATAGCTTAAAGGTAACTCAAATATATTCGACCTGGGTCCATGTGACCGACATGTCCATTATCCTTCATCAGATAAAGCCAACAACGCCATTGGTCAAAAGTTATATTACTATTTTAGTACATTAACAATTCATACTTTGAAACTGACCTTTCTGAACGAACGAAATATCCTGTGACTTTCTCTAGTATCTGGGAAAAGAAAGACCCCACCATGTTCTTCCTCGTTGGTGAAGGTGAACTCAAGGTGGGAAATAGAAATACTGTAGACTGAACACCTAGTGTCCCTCAGCCTGCAACGCAGTCACTGCAATTTTAACACTTGACCTACATTGGGGCCTCTTATCACCAAACAGGTTATAATGTGCACAGTGTGTTACACAGCTCAGTGGGGCGTGGGGTGGAAACCGACGTCGAAATCAGTACGACGCGCATGCCGGTAACCCTTACCTTGTGCAGTGCATTTCTGCCTTTTGTAAACACTTGCCCTACATTTGGGGCCTCTTATCAGCTGGTAAATACAAACAATACCAGGGTTGAAATCGATACAGATAATCTTTTCTATGCACAGCAAGACCCCAGTGAATATATTAGTCGGACATGAAAGGTTGTGACAACGCTTATAGATATTACATGCACGATAATGAGCAAGTGAGAAAGTTTGTGAGTAAGAAAGAAAACGTACAATTTTATAAATAACAACTGCTGGTTTATTGCAGATAGCGCGGTTTCGATGTAGATTCTCAATCATTATCAAGCTTGAGTGACAACAACCAATTGATGAGAGGCATATACTAGCATGATATGTTCAGATAAGCAGAGTGGAGGGGGGCACCAGAAATGGGCTTCACACACCGTACCCATGTCGGGAATCAAGGCAATGAAGCACATGCGCGATGAAGCCAGATGTACAGTAAGGATAAGGATTAAACGGATAAAGCAGTTGTTACAAGCTAATTGGATACTAATTATAAAGGATTATTGCTTGATTACAACTTCATAGGCAGACAAGATGTCTGATACCCTTGATCTCTGTGCATTTCTTTAGCTTCCGAAGGTTTTCTTTTGGTGAAATCCAGGTTGAGAGGCCAGTGCTTATTGTACGAAAAACAACATATGTATAACTCATTAAGAATGTTAACATAAAGCACAAACTTTAAAAAATAATAATTCCGGTATATTTTATGAAGGGGGGGGGGGGGGGGGGGAGTTTAGTATTTCACGGATATTCTTACAATTTCCACGTTGATTATCCGTACCTTTTCTCCCTATACCGATTGACATATCTCTTCTACTTTTGGGAACGATTTCGTTTAGCTACGCTGCCAAGCTACATCTATGGAGAGCAACTCACAGACACTTCCCAATCAGAATAAAGGTTCTTCAATTATGACGTCATCAAGTTGTGTACCCAAATGACACTGAGGAGCCTAAAAGGTAATTTTATAGGTACAAAGATGATAAACTTAGAGAATATTCGTATTATCGCTCATGTAGGTAACGGCCTATAGCCTGAGGTAATTGCCTAACTCTTGTCCCGAGGTGATGACCTCACACCGGCCCTTGCATTCCCAACCTGCTGCAAATGTCACCCGAGTTGGGGGTGGTCTCAAAATATTGCTGTTATTGTACTTTAATAAGTAATGCGTTGAAGTGGATAGCAATTAAGATATGTAATGCAT